CTGGTTTTGTTTAATTTAAATTGGATATTTTTTAAATCACATTTATTTTAATAAAATGCTTTTGGAGCTGGTTTTGTTTAATTTAAATTGGATATTTTTTAAATCACATTTATTTTAATAAAATGCTTTTGGAGCTGGTTTTGTTTAATTTAAATTGGATTTTTTTAAAATCACATTTATTTTAATAAAATGCTTTTGGAGCTGGTTTTGTTTAATTTAAATTGGATTTTTTTAAAATCACATTTATTTTAATAAAATGCTTTTGGAGCTGGTTTTTTATTTAAGTTTCATTAATAATTTAGTCTATTCCGCATGAAATGGAGCTTAGTTATGTAGCATGAGGCTGTACATTCTGCAAAATCTACAATTTATTTAATGAATCCAAACTCTGCAAGCTAAATAGGAAACCTACATTTTGTTTGCAAATAATCTAATTAAGGATTCTAACTACAAGCAAGAATGAGCCCTTACATTTAGAGAGCACTTGTCATTTCAAATCCATCATGGCAGCGCCTGTTAGCGGGCATTCAGTCACTGCTGCCCGCCACGTCCCTCACCTTGTTGTATCCCTGCCACATCACCAGCCGCCCCATTAAAGGGAATGGGACTGTCACTGGGTCAGAGGAGGCGCCAGGACAGAGATGAACAGTTGCTCTTTAAAAATTACGATTTAAGGTCAGAAGATATTCGCGTAAGATAAGAAAGTGGCTGGAAGAGATCACTGAACAGAGGATAGAGTTGAAGCTGGAACTGTTTCTCCTGGGTATTTCTGATGGGAAAATGGGGGGAAAATTCCAATACATAACATTACATATTCTAACGGAAAGTAGAATTGTTTTAGCACAGAATTGGAAACAAACAGATACTCCTCCAGACGTGATTATAAGAAGGAAAATCTATGAATGTGCAGAAATGGATAGACTGTGTATGGAAATCAAGGAGAGGGAAGAAACAGAGTACTATCAAATCCGGAATACCGTATTTTTCGGAGTATGAGACGCACCTTTTTCCCCTAAAAAAAAAGAAGCTGAAAATCTGAGTGCATCTTATACACTGAATACAGCATTTTGGGCCTCCCAAAACCCGACCCACTTTGCAAAAAGGGCCATGCATAGCCTTTAGGAGGCTTCCAGAGTGCTCCTGGCGGCTGGGGAGGGCAGCCCCTAGGAGCACTTTATAAGCCTCCTAAAGGCTATGCATGCCCTTTTTTTTGACAAAAAATGGACCCGTTTTCGTGAAAAACAGGCCGGTTTTTGCTCATTTCTGGGTCTCCCAACCCCCAGGAACACTCTACAAGCCTCCTAAAGGCTATACATGTGTTTGTCGTGAAAAATGGGCCATTTTGGGAGGTCTGCAGAGTGCAAAAACCTTTTTTTTAAAATTTGCCTCTTCAAAGTCTTGGTGAGTCTTATACTCTGGAAAATATGGTAGATGGTATTCCTGACTTGAGAGTAAACATAAAATGTAACGTAAAATGTTAAAGTATAATATATAGAATGTAAAAGGTATAGTAAATAGATGATATTGACTTCATGCTATTATAACCTAAATAAGGATATAATTTAGGATAGAGAAATGGAGGTAAAATTTCTGTAAATAAGATTGTTATGAAAGATATTGATACCGATATGGAAAAGCTGCTGTAAGTATATGTTTGTGTCTTGTCTTTTAAATGTTGGAAAATTCAATAAATACTATTTTAAAAATTACGATTTCAATTGGGTCGATTTAAATCAAGCCTTTTATTTTATTAGTGATTTAAATCCTGATTTCAATCGATTTCAATCAAATCCAGCCTTGATGCCCAGCTTCCGAAAAAACCCTTCCAGGTCAGAAGTCGGAGACCTAACGGAGCTTTCTTTCCAGATGTTGACTTCTAAATGAAAAGCTTTCAAAAGATTGGCTGGCCAACGCTCAGAAGGGATTTCAAGCCCTTCTGCTTGGCTGTTTTTAATAAAGCTGTGGCTACGTTTGAGCTTACAATCCTTGAAAAGCAAAGGAGAAAAAAGATTCCAGCGCAGGTTTTGAAAGGCGCATCATTATAAAGAAAGCAGGAAATCTATATGACATAACAAATCCATCTGCTTCTCCCTCCTTCTCCAGGTCTCTGGGGGACCGCCCCCCTCCTCCTTCTCTGCTGCTTAGCCCTGCCCCCCCCCCTCCCCCATGTTCCTCAGCCGGGCTTCTGCTCTCACAATGCCATCCATGCAGGCGTTCTCTGGCCAGGTTCTGCCAACGGATTACTCAACCAGGCTTCAACAATGAAGCCATTGGCTCCAAGCTCTAAGGAGGCTTTTTAAGCACGGCTTCCCGGCACAGAGGATATACCCACAATGCATGAGCTCACCGAAAAAAGACCGCCTTCGCTCCCTCCCACAGCCATCTGGAGCCACCAAGCCACGGCGTGCCAAGTTCATCTGGGCACACCATGTTCCCATCACACATCAACGCTGCCCAGAGCTCTGAAAATGCCAACCTCCCCGGGCTCAAGAGGCAAAAAAATAAATAAAATAAAATAAAGGCTGGCACGCCGTTACACCTCGCACGAAGCTCCCTCGTGCATACAAAGCAGACAACTCTTCCCTCCTGCCTCTCTTCTCGCTGCATAAATAACCCAGGTTTTCCTAGAGGAGTCTTCCTC